TTTGGGTTTTGTTTGTTTGTTTTTGAGGCAGGGTTTTTCTGTGCAGCCCTGGCTGTCCTGGAACTCACTCTGTGGACCATTAGACTGGGCTGGAATCCAGAGATCTGCCTGCCTCTGCCCCTGCCTCCTGAGTGCTGGGATTAAAGGCGTGCACCACCACGGCCTGGTTTGGCAGCATGGTTCTTTAATACCAGCTCTCGAGAGGCAGGTGGATCTCTATGAGTTCAATTCCAACTTGGTCTACATTGCAAGTTCCAGGTCAGCCAGAGTTACACAAAGAGACCCTGTCTCCTTTTCCTCTTCTTTCTCCTCCTTGTCACCAATGGAGCTGATGAAATTTCTCAGCAGTTAAGAACACTGTTTCTCTTTCAGAGGCTGAGGACCCAGGTTCAATTTCTAGCACACATGAAGTTGTACTCAACTATTGGCAAACCCAGATTTGGAATTCTATGCCCTCTTCTGGCCTCCGTGAGCACCAGATGTTTGAGTGGTGCACATACATATGTCCAGGAAAAATATTCATATACATAAAATAAAAGCAAAACAAGTATATCTAAAATAATAATAATAAAAAGGTCAGGCATGGTGCTGCAAGCTTTTAATCCCAGCTCTCGTAAGGCAGAGGCAGGTGGGGATCTCTGGAGTTCAAGGTCAGCCTTGTCTACAGAGTGAGTCCCAGGACAACCAGGGCCACACAGAGAAACCCTGTCCTGAAAAAAAATGGAAAAAAAGAAAGGAAAAGAAAAGAAAAAAACAATATTCTTCTTTGCAGGACATAAAATTAATTTCCCCACATGGGGACCTGACCTAAATTAACAAATAAAATCAAGGTTATCATTCATGTTCATTCTCGAAGATTCATTTGTTTTTTGTCTTGTAAACCTGTGTGTCCATTGATCTGAATTGCCATCTTTCTATCTCAGAAGGCTTTGGCCCTAGTACCATTGTGTGTTGTAGGACTCTGTCTTCTGGGCATGGAATGGCCATTGCCATCTTGAAATTAGAACAGTTGTGATTGCCCGAATGAGACCCTCAGAAGATTGGAACTGTTAACTTTACCCCTTGGGGACACAGCAGCTGATTCTAACCTGAGACTTCAGTCACATCCTCCTTGACTGTCACTTCTACCAGCTGCATGCGGTCCTGGCCCACTGGAACATGTCTGAAGTGCTAGAGCACGTAAGAGGCGGAAGCGTGACCGCAATAGGGATTTCAACTCAGCCTTCATGAGGTCACCACCCATACCGGGGTGGTTTTTTGCTAATGCAATTTGTTCTGGGTGATCCAGGCTCCTGTGAACAACCCATCGTCCATGTTCCTATAAGTAAGTCCAATAAGCGTACTGCTACACCCAGCTGGACTTGGGTGGACTTGTTCCTCTGATGGATTGTTGGTACACTATCTGTGGTGAGAAGGTGTTGGTCTGGTTTGTTTTTGCCTCTCCTCAGGGAAAGTATCACAACACTTTCTCCCTTACACGTCATCATCATCATCATCATCATCATCATCATCATCATCATCATCATACGAGGGTTCTGTTATGGTTTAGATGTGAGATGTCTCCCACAAGTTCTTATGTTTGAACTCTTACTCCCTAATTGATAGTGCCCCTTTGGCACCCAGACCCTTTAGCAGGTAGGGAGTAGATAAGGAAATGAGTCATGGTGAGGGGGGCTTGAGGGTCATAGCTGAGGCCTTCTCCCCAGTCTTTCTATTTCCTGTCCATGGAGCTGTGAAGAGGTAAGCAAGCCCAGCTGAAGTCCCCAGCACTATGCAGCTGTTGGAGTCCGGTGCTAGCCCGGACCATATTATTTCTCTATCAGAGCCCAACATAAACTATCTCTCTCTGGACTGGTGTGGAAAAGATGGGAATAGAGACACAACACGACTCAGATGGTTTCATCGGGAGGGAGATTCTCAGTGGTCCCTCATGAAGTCCTGAGTTCACATCCTGAAGAATGTCCTCCGTTTATTTTCCAAACAGTCTTTATACCAAAACTTAACTCAGGGGGAAATACATTAGCATTCTGTCTCCTAGGTAACCAGGTGAATGGCATTTTGTCACATCTGACATCTACCTGTCTGCCTGTATGCTAGCTGTCACTAGGTTTGAATTAGCATCTCTCTCAGGCATCCTCCAAATTACAAAGAAAAGAACAACAATATCCTGACCCTTTGTTAGGGCAGCGACAGCCTGTCTGCAGGGTTATCTGACCACCTCAGGTGGGGCCTATGGCTTCAGAGCCTGGCTGCCACACCAAATAGAAATATGGGCCTACACGCAGCCCTTGCCACACCTCCTCTGTCAGTGTGGTAAACCAACATAAACCTTTCCTAACCTAACCTGCTCTTGTCAAGTGTTCCTCGTAGTGATGAGAAACCTGACTTATACAGGCTCCCTCTTGGCTCTTCTGCCATAATTGCTCTTACTCTGTAGATCAGGAAGCCAGTGCCGGGTATTTTTCCCCCCACGCTGTAGCCCTGGCCTGCAGGGCTGGAATTCACTATGTGCTCAAATCACAACAGTCCTGCTGCCTCAGCCCCCCAAGTAGTGGGACTACAGGCATGAGCCACTTTGCCTGGCTCTACAGTCAAGATTATGTCACTTGCTAAATGCGGTAAAATTCTGATGGCAACCTCCCCCATTTTGGGGGGATAGGTCCCCAAGTTGACCTCAAACATTCTAGGTAGCTGAGGATAACTGACAACTTTTTTCTTTCTTTCTTTCTTTCTTTCTTTCTTTCTTTCTTTCTTTCTTTCTTTCTTTCTTTTCTTTTGGTTTTTCAAGACAAGGTTTTTCTGTAGCTTTGGAGCCTGTCCTGGAACTAGCTCCGACAGACTAGGCTGGCCTCGAACTCACAGAGATCCGCCTGTCTCTCCCTCCTGAGTGCTAGGATTAAAGGTGTGCACCACCACCGCCTGGCCGACAACTTTTTTTCTTTTCTTCTTCTTTTTAATCCAGAATCTCTATGTAACCCTGTATAGAATTCCCTATACAGAAAAGGCTAGCTTTGAACTCACAGAGATCCACCTGCTTCTGTCTCCTAATGCTAAGATTAAAGGTGTGCAACACCACACTCAGGCTAACCTTGAATTCTTTATTTTCCTACCTCTATTCCCCAAACTCTGGGATTAAAGGTATGTCAGTTTTGATGGCAGAACCCTAGGAATAAGTGGAATCCAAAATATCTGAAGCTGAAAAATGCAAAGGGACCGAGGACACAGTGTGGTAGTGGAGCATTGGCCTAGGACAGTAAAAGTGATGTTGGGGAGCACTGTCGATCCGGATGTGGGGCGACCCAGTGGTGACTGTCTTGTTGAGGTATGGCACCATCTGGTGGAAATGGGCTCTGGTTGGAGTGATAACGGAGTGGCTCAGTGGTGTGTACAGCTGGGCTGACCAGATCAACTACAGTTCTTTTATTAGCTAGCTTTTGTTTTCCCCATCAAAATTAAGATTGTTGGATCACCTGGATCACCGTGTAGCTCCGAATATTTACAGAAGCCATTTATTGAACATGACTGTCACCGTCGCGCATTCAAAACACAACTCATTTTGAGAACTCATTCATCATGGTCTCAGTCAGAGGAACATACATCTGTGTCCTTTTAGGCCGTTCTTAGTGGGCAGAAGGCAGGTGACGTCCCCCAAAGAAATCTATTACCACTGCAGGCCCCTTTCTTTTGGTTTGCTTGTTCTTTTGTTCACTCTTTGAAGGGAGATCTCATGTAGCCCAGGTAGACTTAAGCTGCTGCCTGTCCTTGACCTCAACTGTTAAGTGCTGGGGTTACAAGGATACGTGTGTGCCATCCTGCCTGGCTTCGTTTCTCTAACAATAGTGTCAGAACATAGCCTTGGCTAGCCTAGAGCTCAGAGAGCCTCCTGCCTCTACCTCCCAAGTACTGAGATTAAAGACTGTGTTATCACATCCAGCTTGATTCCCAATTCTTTATTTTTCTTCTCTTTTTAGAACAATGTCTTTTTATACAATCCAGATTGATCCTGAACTCCTATGAAGTGTGAACATCAAACTCAAGGACTCCTTCCTCAGCCTCCTAAATGCTCACCTGTCACGATGCCTGACTCTGAATTTTTAATTCTTTCTACTTCATATCAAATAATCACTAGAAATATAGAAATATAAGGTACAGAAACCAGTAGATCAAAGTCAGGACTGGTGGCTCATAACTGTCTGTTTTGTTTTTGTTTGTTTTTTCAAGACAGGGTTTTTCTGTAGCTTTGGAGCCTGTCCTGGAACTAGCTCTTGTAGACCCGGCTGGCCTCGAATTCAGAGATCCTCCTGTCTCTGCCTCTGCCTCCTGAGTGCTGGGATTAAAGGCTTGCGCCACCACCATATTGCTGGTGGCTCCTAACTGTAATCCCAGGATTCGGAGGCTGACATAAAAGGATTAATACAACCTGACTGCTATTCTATCTAGTCTGCATGGTGAGGTGAAAGTCAACCCATGCAGTAGAATGAGACTGTCTCAAACCTCTTTTTTTTTTTTTTTTTTTTTTTTTTTTGAGACAAGGTTTCTCTCTGTATAGCCTTGGCTGTCCTGGAACTCTCTTTGCAGGCCAGGCTGACCTCGAACTCAGAGATTTCCATTGGCTGTGTTCTCTCCTAGACAAGAAAAAGGACAAAAGGAAACTAGAAAGGCAGAACAAAGGACGGAGGGGCGCGCAGCCCTCTCTTGTCTCCTTCCAGCCAGGACGGTACCCTGGAAGGTTCCAGAAACAGCCGAGGCCTGGCTGGTGACCTCGTGGTGTCCCCTGGAGACCACTGCAGCCGCCCACCAGCTTACGCTCGCTTTCCCGCCACGCCGCGGCCGGGCTATTCGGGGTGGGTCAGCGCGAGAGAGGCGGGGCGTCAGACGTCACATCCGGTGTGGGAAGCGCCTCTGCCGGAGCAAGCAATTGGCCAGCCCCGCGGAGTGGGCGGGGCCGGGAAAGCGCGCCTTCTGGGGAGCGAGCGGGGCCCGCTTAAAGAGCGTCGCGTCACGTCCGGCGGCGGGAGAGCGGCGCGGAGGAGGTGCGGAGCGCGTCGGCCTTGGGCGGCTCTCAGAGTGCGACGTCGCGAGAGGCTGCGGCAGGGCCTCCGTAGAGAAGGCAGGAGTCTGACAGCTTCCGTCCAGGCCAGCAGCGGTGACAGCCATCTGGAGTCATGAGCGACAGCGGCGAGCAGAACTACGGCGAGCGGGTACGCGCGGGGGGCCGCGGGCGGCTGCGGTCTCCCCTTGTTCTCTCCCCAGGCCTTGCGGGCCTCTGCGGCCGGGCAGCGGGAGTCTGGCGGCGAGCGGGAGCCGGGGCGCCGGAGGGCCTGATGGACGCCCGCCCCGAGTCGCCAGGGAGGCCGCCGGCGGGCCGTGGGCCTCGTACCCGCCGCGACCGGTTTTTTTTTTCTTCCGTTAGGAGGTGGGGGTTGGGGGAGATCAAAAATGGCCGCGGCGTTCCCTCGGCGGTGGGGGATGGGAGCGGAATCTAATTTCGCCGTTGCGCTCCTGCGAAGCCGCGCCGCAGCCATCTTGGGCTCGCGGGCTGGGCGCGCTGCCAGAAGCACAAAATGGCGGAGCCGCCGCGGGTCCTGGCGGCCTGGCCCTGCCGCCTCTCCCGTACTGCAGGGGAAAGTGCGGAGGAGCCACGTGGGCCTGGGAGTCGGGCGGGTGCACGGGTGGCGGAGAGCAGGCCTCTCCGGGGCCTCTGGGCACGGAAACGGCGCGGGGGGGCGTCGGGGGCCCCGATGGCTTTGTGCTGGGGCGGTTTCTTCGTGGTCGGGGCCTGAACTGGAGCAGAACGCAAGGTCATTAGCGTGGTTGTGCGGGATTGGGAAGAAGCGAGCGGTGGCGACAATCCACGGCGCTGTTAGCTCTGGGCATCACGTGTTTTATTTTTTAAGCTTCCCCCTCCTAAGGGTGTAATGGGGTGGAGGTAGATGAATTTGTATTTAACGGGCCGGGATTTACCAGTTCCCAGAGCTTACACAAAGCGCATGTGCTGTGGCGGTAGAGTATTATCCCAGCAAGATAGGAAGGCATTGCCTGGCTTAGTGAGCGAGAGTAATTGCAGTTTGAAAACTCCGCTTAGTCGTTGTTAGTATAGTGGTAAGAAAAGAAAACTCCCGCTTAGTAGCACCATAAGAGCAGTTGTTTTCCGCCCCGGGACTTAACATTTTTTTCACAGAGTTTACAGGAGTAGATCATACTCTGCTTGTAGTCTGCTAAGTATGTTAGTAAACTTAAAGGTATGGACGGTAGGCCTCCCAAATGGTAAACTCGGGACCAAGGCAGAATAGCTTGAACTGATCATGTCTTTTAGTACTGATCAGACCTGTACCGAGTTTAGCCTTATATCCCAAGGTCATTTTAAGTCCAGTGTTACCAGTTTGTGCCTTGTCATTTTAAAGCTTTCCCAAGGAAGGAAAAGAGGGGGGAATTACGCTTTGTTTTTTTCCTGATAATGGAAATGGAGCCTGGGCCCGCGTCACATGCACGCGTTTACTACTGCACTATGAACCCAGACCCCGTTTTGTTTTAAATCCTTTCGAACTTCTCTGTATCCCATCCACGCGTGCCATGAGGTCTTGCCTCCCAAAGTTGGCATGTAATGATAAATTAGTCTGTGTTTAGAATTAAAAGCAAGTAGTTTGTTGTTTTGGGATTAAATAGGTATACATCATCATGTCCATGAAAAATTTTCAAATTAGCTTTCGTGTATATACCTCCCCGAAGAAAGCGATTGAAAAATGGGTACCATTTTGAAAGAGCTGGGAAACTGTTTCCCCTGTTGACTTGAAGTGTTATTTCTATTTCTACTAACAAGATGGTTTTTGAGTGTTTATTTGAGGTAGGGTCACTCCGTGTCCCTGTCTGTCCTGGGACTTGCTAAGTAGACCTCAGCCACTGCCTGCCTCTGCCTCTCTAGCTAGTGTTACCGTTTAAGGTGTGAACCAACCACATTCGGCAGTCCTTATTTAATTGGAGAATAAAATGACTTTCTGTGTTTCTAAATTTGGAAGTTGAAGAACACTTACAAAGAATTTTTTCATATGCGTGTGCATAATTCCTGAGTTTGTGTGGCCCACGTGTACAAATGTCCAAATGCAGATTGTGAGCCACCTGGTTTGGGTGCTGGGAAACAAACCTCCATTCTCTTTAAGAACGTGCTTAATTAAGAGTAGGTGCTCTTCAGTGCTGTTCCAATTTTTTAGCCCTATACTTACACACATACACATTTTCCTTGGTGTTTTTTGCTCTCCAATTGGAATCTTGGGATAATTGGAAACACTTAGCTGAACTTAAGGCTTGCCAAAAAAGTTCAGAGACAAAAACACTGCAAGGTAAGCAGGGCAGAATGTTACAGGTTTGCAAATACTGGCTACTTGTCCTGGCCCCAGATTCAGTTATAATCCTGAATTACTTAGCAAGACTAAACATTTTCCCCCAAGGAATAAGGGGTAGTATAAGTACTGGTTGTATAACTTGTTAAGAATATGCTTGCCTGCCATGTAAGGCTCACACAAACATAATGCAAGGTAGCTTGGTCAAATCTGATTTGTTCACCTTCCAAGTGTGAAAAATGTTTAAGGTAAATAGTCTTGGATATGCCTGGTATAACCGACCATCTCTGGAAACCTGGAAATAAGTTTCATTGTCTTCTAGGCCCATAGATAGACACAAGCTATTTTAATGTGCACAGAATAAATCTTTTAAGCTACCTGGAATGTCAGTGATTATTTGTCTTCATGTGGACACTCCAGGATTCACTCAACCCCCTTTCAAAGATGTTTCTTTCCTAGGGTGTGTGAAATAAATTGTGCTTGGTTTGGGCACAAGTTTATTGGATGGATTTTAAAATTTTAGCTCTTTTGCAGAGTGTGTTCCTTATCCTTTGTTACTTGTAGGATTTGGGGTTTTTGGATTTTTTTTTTTTTTGCCTATTTTAAAATTGGCTTAAAAACTCATTTCTTCCAGTACTTTTATTAAAAATTGCTCATTTTGTAAAGAACCTTTTCTTTGAAGGAAAAACGGCCACTCTTAATATTTAAGACCCCAATAGTGTTTCTAGTATAGGGTGTGAGACTTGTGAATTTTGATCTTCTAAAGATTCTTACCTCGTTGAGATTATGCATGTGAGTCCTGAGAATCTAGAATTATACAAGCCAGAAAATGTTTTTGTTGGGCTGTTTTATGACCACAGTAGCAAGAGATTAGAGTAGTTTGGAGTTAGCAGATACTCTGATAAAGCAGTATTTTCTTAGAAGCAGCTTCTGGATACTACCCCACCAAATTGCTTCTCAGTTTCTACGTTTTTTCCTCTTAAGCAATCCCATGATGTCTTTGTGTTTTCCTTGTGTTTATCCCCTAACTCTAAATTCAGGTTTTTATAGCCAAAACTTCTATTTCTAAAGTAATTGTAGCCTTTACACGTAATTTTAATGAAGGGTTGAATTAAGTTTAAGAAAATCACTAGTTTTTTCATCATAAGTCTTTTGGTGAATCATTTTCTTTGATTTAAATAAGAATGCTTAATATTGTGGATATTATCAAAATAGAAAGTGATACTTCTAAGATGAAATTACAAATGGTTTTACAAGGTAAGTACTGGTTTCCTTGAAAGCTTAAAGGGGAGGGAGTTCAGAAACTGAGAGGTGTTAATGGAATTTGTCTTGTTTGTATAGCCTTTTTCCTTTTCAGTAAAGCCCCAAACCTACACAATAAACATGAATGCTTTCAAACTTAATTTGGCCAAGTCGGTGATTAGCGTTATAGTGTATGTGTCCAGGATTGTTTTGTTGATTAGTATTTGGACATAGCTGTTGTTTTCTAATAAGGTATAGTGATTATTTTAGAAATGAGTACTTTTTTACATGGGTTATTGTAGGATGTGGGCCATATAGAGTTAGGTGTTGTGATCATTTAGTGTTAACTTTTTGTCAGGTCAAAATTGATTAAAGCAAATTCTCAAATCACTATTTTGAACTGATTTTGGAGGCTATTTTCAGGTTATTAATTGGTGTGGATTTTCGTGTTTGGAGGGGCCTGGCAATAAAATTTTTGCTTAGATAGATAAGAAATTTCAGACAAAAATGCGTATATGTGCTTTTGATGGAAAATGTGTGATCAAAAGAAATTTAAGGGTTTGGTATTTTTGCAGGATTACAAAAAGCATTAACTTTAGAGCTGGTGTAGTTATGTCTTCAGGTTCTCGCCTTCAGCCCTCCAGAAATTTTCTTCAGCATTTGGGAGGTGAAGGCAGGAGAATCAGGCCATCATCCTTTGGCAATATAGATGCCATTCTGGGCTATATGAGACCTTGTCTCCAAAAAAAGCCCTTAATCCATTTTAGTGTTGACCTTTTCTGTAACACGGTGTAGTTTTTCTTTACTTATTTCATTCATTGCCAGTTATTAAACTAGTTCCCCAGTGATGTGGGTTTTTTTCTAAGTATGCTCCGTTTTTTTAACCAAATGTATGTTGACCCAATAGTTGATCTTGTAGTTTTATGTAGTTGCTTTTGAGTTTAGCTGAGTTAATACAAATTGTCTAGCAGTGGTTTTGTTCTTAGTATATAGGAGAAAGATTAGAAAGTGTTAATGAATGAAGCAGTACCAAAGTGGCCTTAATGTTGAAAAAGTCCTGGTACCTACTAAAGCTTTTTTGTCTTCTGAATCTAAGCCCTGTATCTATCTATACATAAATAACCTTTAGGGAGGCCAGGCACTAAAGAAACCTGCTTGGGCATTCTGATTCCATGATTACATTTGTGCTGCCAGTAAACATTTCCCATTACATTTTAGTGATGGATCTTACAAGAAAACCAATTACTGTGACTCCCTTAAATAGCCATTCTAAATGTCCCCAGATTAAACAAACAGTAGTTAACTATAAAATTGGTCTGGAAATCAGACTTTTCCTTGGAAAAGATACTTCTATACCCATGGTTGCCTATGTCAGCAATAGAATAAAGACTTGACTTTTTTTTTTTTTTTTTTTTTTTTAGGAAATTTTTCTTTTTTCTCCCCTCTTTCAAACCAGAAGAAAATGTAAGAGGAAATAGACAGTAAAAAGAGCATTCAGAAATATTTTAGCAGGGTAACAAGGAAAACTAGATTGTTTTACTGGGACAGTATTTTACTTAGTGTCCCAGTATTAGAATTAAACTTCACTAATCTGCTAAAGTGGGCCTTTTTAATAATTTGAGGAGGTTAGCCATAATTTTCTCATAATTTGCCACCTTTCAAGTTCTCTCCTTTGGACATCCAGAAGACTGATGTTTTGTTAATAGAGGGGAAAACTTTACAACAGAATTCTTTGGACATAACCACTGTTGGAATCAAGTTTGCTCTATTTTATAGCTGTTGGCATGTAGTAGATAATTTTATTTAGTATCAGGATTTTAGTTCTAAATTTAGTAATTAAACTAATAAAGAGTTTTCAAGGGTGGGTTGGACAGATTCCGTTGTCAGGTTTGCTGACATTGTCTAACAATGTTCTTTCAAGTAAACAGTAATGTGGAATTATGCATTTCTTGTCTAGACAAGTCACAGTACTGTAAACGTTCAACCCAGCCTTTGTCATTGTGCAGATGAGTTGTCCATGCTTTTCTTTCTTGCACTTTTGTATTGAAATGTGTCACTTTTTGACTAGAAATGTGCTTTTGACACTTAGCATTTTATTTTCTCTTGAATACAATAAGAAGTGTGAATTGTGATTACAATTTGTAAAATTGTTTAATGAACAGTAAATGTTCAGTGTCGCACTTCACATTCATTTTAAGCATGATAAATTTATATGGAATATAGAAATGATTACCATATACCAACAGGAAACTATGTAGTTTCAGTTTTTTGAGCTGCATATTTTAGTATTTTTTAAATCCAAAACTACAAAAGGGAATTTTTTTTCTAGTTTCAGTTTTGGCACTGGATTTTATCCTGGAGTTTTAAAATATTCTTCATCCTGTTCTTTTTCTATTAAGGTTAATGTTGAAGAAGGAAAATGCGGAAGTCGTCATTTGACAAGTTTTATAAATGAGTATTTGAAGCTCAGGAATAAGTGAAGCTGAAATTTGAAAAAATAAAAGAAAGAATGCATGCTAATTATCAGACCAGAAGTCCCACTTGTAGAATATTGAGCAATTTGTGTGAAGTGGGGAAGATGAAAGAAGTCAGAATTTGAAACGGAAGAATGAAGAAAAGAAATAAAAATGAAGTTAAGATAAGAAGTAATCTGGAATCAGAAAGCACTACGCTAAGTAATTACTAGTCTGTTTATGTGTCCCTGTATATTTTGCTAAACATGCATGCATTATTTGTTTAATAGAAGAAAATATATACAGGGTAAAGAAGTGACTTCCAAGGGAATCGTTTAAATTAGGTAATTCTAATTTTTAACTGCTTAGTCAAATGATGGAAATGCAATTCTTTAAAAATAACTATTTGTAGTCGAATAGCAGGAAGCAGTTGCTGATCCACTGGGGAATACTAGTTGGCCTCCCATCTTCCCTTACTTAGACTTTTCACCTATTATTATACTCTGCTAGTTCTGGGGCATGAGTATGAGTTGGAACTGGTGGTCTGTTACTTAGCCACCCTTTGGACTCTTAAAATGCACTGATGGTTTCTGCTTTGATGCTGAACAGTGTATAGTAGAATATTTTCTACTGGAAAAATTTCAAGACTGTCACTGGGGTAGTAATGGGACTAAACCCTCAAAATCCAAGCAAAACATCTAACATGGTTGTTTTGTTGTAATGAAAGGATTAGGTTTCCACATATTGGTGGAAAGCTATAACCACTTAAGTCCTAATGTTGAGATCTACATGTGCCAAATAAGGATGTTCTGTATATTCTGTTGCATGCCTGTTCCAACTGAATTATAAGGGGTTTTGCTTAAGTATAATAGCCTCCCTTAGATGGGTCATGCAAGTATGATAGCTAATTCAAAGTGCAGTGGTTGCTGCTACTTTGTTGCCTTTTTTCCCTATCTTTAGTTTATTATAATGATCTTAAACATGGTTTTCTTCTAGTGTGTGTGCTACCTCAACTGAAAAGAAAACAAATGTAATTCTTTTCTGTGTTTTGACTGATTATAGTTAGATGATTAGCATGTTAATAAGAAGTACCCATAATCAATAGCAGACAACCAATAATTGCCTGCTCCATGCAGAATATTAAAGGTTATCATCTTGAAATAATACTTTTTATTCTGAGTGTTGTCGGGTCTTTAGAGCTATTGGAGAAAATTATTTAAATGACCTTTCATGAAGGGTGCATGTGTTTTTGGTACATTTTAGCCTATTTATTGTCAGTGCTTTTTACATGTGCTTCTTGTTTCTGTATCTTGCTAGGAGAATACAGTTTTCATTTATAGCAGACAGTTTGTTGCTTTGTAAAACTAATTGTCAGATAATGATGAAATAATGTCAATTTTATGTTACTACTCAAGCTTAAAGGGGATTTGAATTTCCATATGGTCCCAAGTAGATACACTTAAAGTGAAAATGTTGATGTTAGTTAGCAAAATTTCCCATCTGTTTTTGTTTTGTTTTGTTTTCCTTTTCAGAAAGTGTCTCCTATGATCGGTGAGGGTGCTTTTAAGTCCCGTTGTTGACAGGGAAAACAGGGCTGAAATGGGGGTTGGAATTTTACTTGCAATACAGGGAAGATTACTTTGCCTAAGAATCATAGAAAGATTTAACTTCTGACATTGAGTTTGTGGGGCTTAATTAAACATGTATTTTTGCTTTTTAGGATTAGGGTGCCTAACACAAACTACAAGCTGTCTACAAGCTGTTTAGTGCTGCATATTATGAGCTACTGTAAGGAAAGATTTAATACTTCTGAGATGCTGCTCTCAATATAGGAGGAGCTACAGGCTGCTTGAGATTTTGTTTTTGAACTTGACCTGTTCCTTATGTATTGGTTGTGCATTAGTTAAAATGACTAAGATTTGAGGACATTTTTGGGGGAGAATTTCTGTCATTGTTGGTGCTTTTGGGCATTGGCCATCCACGTTATAGTTCTTTTTGTAGAGTTCTATATGGCTTTGTCACTCAGAGTTGTAAAGGACTTTCCTGGCTGGTTTTATAGAATTGTTTGTGCTTTAAGGTTTACGATTAGTATAGAGCTTTTTATTTAGCTAATCACTGATTTCATTTCTTCACACAAAATCCTTTATATTTTCTTCTCACTTTTATAGATATCTACATAACTGGAAGGATTTAACTAACAAAGGATTAGCTGGCAAAGTTTTTAGAGGTAGTTTTTTGTGGGTTCTTTCCCAGCCCCCCAACTTGCCCAACAGTGCCAATATACAGGCAAAGGGGATCTTTTGTGTTTCCACTCATTTTTAATCTTGAGAAATTGTTGCTCAAAAAGTACATGTGGGACATAGCCTATTAGGTTTGGAGGCTGAGTTAAAAAAAAAAAGTCTTGGGAACTTTCCAAGACGTTTGTTGAGACACCTTCGTCTACTAGACTTTTTTTTTTTTTTAAATATTTATTATGTATATAATATTCTGTCTGTGTGTATGCCTGCAGGCCAGAAAAGGGCACCAGACCCATTAAAGATGGCTGTGAGCCACCATGTGGTTGCTGGGAATTGAACGCAGGACCTTTGGAAGAGCAGGCAATGTTCTTACCCTCTAAGCCATCTCTCCAGCCCCTCAGCCTCCCACTTTTATCCAGAAACCAATCATTTTGTCTGCAGCCACTCTAGCAGTTACTTTGCTATGGTTTGACTTGGACTTCTCCGATGATTAATGCAACTGAACACTAGTGACTTCTGAGCCATCTCTCCAGCCCCCTCTACTAGACTTGACTTTTAAGAAGAAACTTTCCTCATCTAATTTCCCATTCTAGAAATTTCTGTTCTCTTAGCAGACAGATAGCTGAGGCATCCCAGTTTGGAATAAAACTTTGGTTAAAAAGAAGCAACAGTCCTTTTTTTTTTTTTTTGAGGATTTATGTATATGTTGCTCTATCTGCATGTACACCTACATGCCAGACGTGCGCATCAGGATTATATATAGGATGTTTGTGAGCCACCATGTGGTTGTGGGAATTGAACTCAATACCTCAAAAGAGCTACCAGTGCTCTTAACCCGCTGAGCCATCTCTCCAGCTCCCAGGAACTTTTGTACCTCTTTTATTCACAGACAAATTTACCTTACAGTGATTTTTTTTTTTTTAATGTGCCGTGTGGCAGTGATATTCTCTTCTGGCAAAATTTTTCATTTTGTTTTCGTTAAAGCTTCTAATTGTTCTGTAAGGTATTATAAAATTTGAATAAATGCATTTTTATTAACTTTCTAGTCACTTCTGTTTTCTCTTGTAGATTAGCCTTTCCCTATAGTAAAGATGACAAAAGCTACACTGTAAATTTGTTTTTTGTTGTTGACCAAGAAGAAAGTGAGATGTAAATTGCCTTGCTGAACATTTTGCTTGAATATTAGATGCTGAAATCCAGTGGCTGGTTAATTGGTAGTCTTTCCCCACCACGAACAGTGAATCCTAAACTATATTGTGGTATTAAAGGCAGCTGAGTCACATGTGGCTTATTTTAATCTATAGCTATTTCTTGGGGGATGAAGTTCTGGTAGAGAGGTAAGTTATCTGTCACATGTTAAATCACAACCATGCTTTAGTGTGTCCTTGAAGTATTTTCTAGATTATTTGGGGCCTGGAAAGCTGCTCATTCTTGCAGTTGTCTTCATCCGTTTACTTGAGGTTCCTCCCTTCTTATGTTGCATATAAAATCATATTTTTGTGTCCTGAGCATTGAGGAGGAATGCTCTAAATTGTCTTCCTTATTCTGTATGTAAATCATAGTCTGGATTCTAAAATACTTGGAAGTGATTTTTGAGATTCGTGCCATTTTATCTTTGCTTTCTTTTTAGTGGCTGTGGCTGTATCTTAAGAACAATTGACTAGACTGTGCCTTTCATTTTTGCCTTAAAAGGTTTTGTCATAGTGAAAGCTTAGTTGTCTGGGGAATGAGCACTGTCTCTTCCCATTTAATAAACGGGAGTCCATGGTATTTGCCTAGGCATCTACAGAAATTTTCCTGGGCTGAAAGTTCCTGGTTTTATCTTTGTTTTAATGTGCCTTTTACATATTGTTTCTGCTTTTTTTTCTTGGTCTCCTGTTTGATTTTGCCTTGGCTCTTGCCATTGTAGCCAAGAAAGCTGTGGATCTTTGGCACCTTTTCTGCTCTTAGCAATTTGCTGTCTTGCTTTTGTTAGTTCCTTTTGTTTGCTCTTGAGTTTTGTAAGAGGTCTCAACATGCATTGAAAACTATCCTAGCCATTGCCTGTCCATTAGCTAGTCTTTTAGATTTTTTTTCTACCTTCCAAACTTGAAAGACAAGATTATCCTAGACTATTTTATTTTTGCCCCTCATTTAAAAAACCATAACTTGAAGTTACGGGATTTTGTTTTGATTGTTGCTTGACTGGAGTAGACTAGGCTTCATAGTTAACTAAAGTTCTTTCCCACTCTATGTAGTAATAATTCCCAAATGTAATACTTCGGTAGTTCTTTAAACAATCTGACTTTGAAACCTTTTAGGGGAGTGGAGTTAGGTAATTCTTGTGGAAGAACTAATTGATAAGTTGAAGCAATGAAACTATTATACCAGGTATACTCAATTCCTGCCATCACATGTTTTCTTATCTTTGGAAGAGGATTGTTCTCCTTGGCCATTTGTCTCACAGAAGCTTATTTATTTTTAAAGCTTCTTCAGAAGTATACAAATTAAAACTTTTGACATCTGCGTGTAGGAATCCCGTTCTGCTTCCAGAAGTGGAAGTGCTCACGGATCCGGGAAATCTGCACGGCACACCCCTGCAAGGTCTCGCTCCAAGGAAGATTCAAGACGTTCTAGATCAAAGTCACGGTCCAGATCTGAATCTAGGTAAGAAAGACTATTTTGAAATCTCTTTCTATTAACCCTGCTCTGAAATTAGTGTGATTTGTTAAGCTAAAGAAAGTAAAGGATGTGTTCATTTATTGGTCTATTTAATGTTGATATTAGAAATGGGAACCAGAAGACTAAAACAACCTAGGCTTCTGGGGTCAGGGTTCAGATCTTGAGTAGATTATGTTTAACTTTAGAACTTTGGCTGCTTATAGCGCCAGTACTTCATCTATCAGTGCATTCTGGTTTTGGTGACCCCTTTATGTTTTAAAGCCATGAACTTAATTATTTTCTATGTTCATTGATGTTTTGCCTGCATGAATGTCTGTGTTAGGGTGTCAGATCTTGGAGTTACAGTTGTGAGCTGGCTACCATGTGGGTTTTGGAAGAGCAGCAAGTGCTCCTAACTACTGAGCTATCTCTCCAGCCCAAAGCTTGCTTGCTTACTTTTTTCTTTTTTTTGTTTTAAGGCAGGGTTGAGATCCACCTGCCTCTGCCTCCCAAGGGCTGGGATTGAAGGCACAGGCCACCACTGCCTGAATTAAGAGATAAATATAGTGGCTTTTGTTAATTGGCCAAAATGAATAGTTGGCATAATAGGAAATACAAAAATAGAGGATAAAAGGTTAAAAAGGTATGCACAAACCAAACATGTAGTACGGTCCAGTTTTCAGAACTTTAAATATCCTTAACTTCAAATTTTTCTTAATGTTATTTTGGAAAAAATGAGAGGGAGCCTTTTGTTCTTGACTTTGCTTGCTTAACAAAATAAAAATGATTAGATGGGGGTAATTTTTTTTATCATGAAGTATGTCCTCTGTTTGGAATTTAACTCTAGAATAGAGTAATAAAGAAATTGAAAAATTATTTATTTTTTTCTGTTATTTAGCTATAACCTCAAGTTCTATCTTGCAGGTCTAGATCCAGAAGAAGTTCTAGAAGGCATTATACAAGGTCACGATCGCGATCCCGCTCCCATAGACGATCTCGGAGCAGGTCTTACAGCCGAGATTATCGCAGGCGGCACAGCCACAGCCATTCTCCCATGTCCACTCGAAGGCGTCATGTTGGGAATCGGGTAAGATGGAAAAGTTTTCTGAAGTGCTATGGACTGAACCCAGGTTATTATGTACACGAGGCAGATCAAACCACCGAGGTCCCATCCCAGCCTGAAGATGTTTTTGAAACATTGTACTACCTGATCTCTTTACTTTGACAGTGGAGTTTTAGCTTCTGTTTCTAGAAATGGAAGTGTTTTTATTAGTATGTAATTTTCCTACCTAATAAGTTTGTTCTATGTAAAATTAACCGGAACTTTTTTTTTAAGTTCCTTAATGTTTGGCTGGAATGCTTAAAACGTTTATAAATTTATTTTACTAATGATAGCTGCTAAAGTAATTTGTTGCAATTTCTTGGGTTTCATGTGTGTTTGTCTATAATCACTTAATATGTAATACAGTTCCCCTTGTCTGCTTCAATTGCTAGACATTAAGAATTAATGAAAAAGCCCACAAATTTATGAAGCTTACTGTTTGCTTCATCTTTAGTTTTAAGTCTTGGCACCATCACCCTTATCTTTTAGTAACAATGTGCTTAGTTTGCGTTTAAATTTTATATCTGATTACTTAAAATACTCAAACAAATGTTCTGTAAGCAGTTGTTAACATATGCTGCTAGTTAGGTGGGAGGTCTACCTGTAGTTGTGACACCCTTATTGTACCCACCAAGACTTAATTTCCTTCTGAGATTGGTGGATTCTTCAATGCAGAATCCAAGGCAGAATTATTCCTTCTGTTCCAAAGATGTATAATGCACACCCTTATTTCCAGTTATTTACTCCAACCTATTATCCTTGCACAGCTATGCAAAACATGACATTCTTGTTAAGTATCTTTTGGTTGTTTTCCTTCTTTGATATTAATAGTGATGGTGATGCATCTACCCTACACCCACAGGGTTTCTCTGTGTAGCCTTGGCTCTCACCCTGTTAGACCATGCTGAGCTGCTTCTGTCTCCCAAATGTTGGGATTAAAGGCATGCACCACCATCACCTGGCTGTTTCCATTTTTGGGATAAGCTCTCACTGTATTGTGCCACTGTGGCTGTCCTAAAACTCAAGAGTAGACCAGGTTGATCTCTAAAAATCTACTTGCTGCTTCCCTCATGTTGGAGTGAGTGCATGACTACCTATATCCAGTCCATTTATTTGTTTGTTTGTTGCATTTGTGTATGCATGATTGAGGGGGCATGTGCCAAGGGGTACACATAGATGTCAGGAGTTGGTTTATGTCTAAGGAGCCCGGGAATAAGTTTCCAGTGAACAGAAGGGGAGAGTATGCCAACCAAGAATTGGCAGAGGGATATTTCCTGGGATTCAGCTATACCCCTCTTTGGCAATTCTAGCTGGTGTAATCTCACAGTCGAGATACCTGTGAGATTTTGGTCACCCTGGGTTGCATTGAGCTCCAGACTAAAAACAGCCTTTTCCCCCCCTTAGAATAAATTCCCTGATGAGTATTATCTCAGCTGAGCTCCAAACCTCAAGCAACAACAAAAAATCAGAACAGAATCTCTTAATGATCCTCCTCTCTGTTTTTAGGGTTGAATTTAATTTAGTTCCCTTGTGGGATTTCCTACCCTTTGTGGTTATCACTGTATGCTACAGTGTTTTGTAAGATACAGTGGTGCTTGATCTAATTTATCATCCTAATAATTGTTTTTTATGTTATATTCTCGTTAGTTATCCTTCCTTGTCCACTTACCCCCTTTAAGATCTATGTAAAATTTTCAGATTTTAAAATCTGTTTGTTTTCTAGGCAAATCCTGACCCCAACTGTTGTCTTGGGGTGTTCGGATTGAGCTTGTACACCACAGAAAGAGACCTGAGAGAAGTGTTCTCTAAATACGGCCCCATTGCTGATGTGTCTATTGTGTATGACCAGCAGTCTAGACGCTCAAGAGGATTTGCCTTTGTATATTTTGAAAATGTAGATGATGCCAAGGAAGTAAGTATTTACTTGTACTTTTGTTCTGACTGACCAGGCAATTTCTGGTTTTATATTATAGATTTAAGATCTAAGGCATACAACTATAGTTATGAGTTTTTGTTCTTTGGAGGAATTTTAAAAAAATTTCCGCTTGGAACATGTTGAATTAGGTGGTATTCTGAACTTACTCTCAGCCTTACATTGCAAAAAAAACAAAACAAAACAAAAAAACAAGCGTGACTTAGGTTGGTGTTCTTAGTAATTTCTTCAGAAAGGTACTGTCTCTAGGCTAAAAGCATTTTGAAGTAAATTCCAAACACATCACTTGCTTTTTCTGTAATGCTGTGTTATAAAAAGTGAACCCTAAAGATATTTTGGCAAAGAATAATACACTGAGCTATTTTAAATTTTAAGTTTGTGTGTGTGGGTGTTTGCCTGCATGAATGTCTTTGCACTGTGTATGCAGTGTCTGTGAAGGCCAGCAGAGGGCACTGGATCCCCTGGAACTTGATCTACAGACAGTTGTGATGACTCCTAGTGTGGGTGTTGGGAATTGAATACAGGTCTTGAAAATCAGCCAGTTCTGTGAACTTCAGTCCATGCTCATTTTAGTGGGCAGGGGGGATGTAACTAATATTAGATCCAGGCTGCGTGTTCGAGATGTTTGGCTCCCACAACAGGCATTTTGAATCAGAATATAAACACGTTTGTTTTTATTTCTTCCCATTCCAAATGGCCATAGGTAAAGAAAAGCGTTTGGACTGTGTTCAGCAAGTATAGACATTGAAATTTGGCTTTCATAAATGGTGTGATGTATGTGTGTATAATCCCAGCTCTTAGGATGTTAGAGACCAATAGATTAAGTTCACCTAAATTTGTAGGTAGTTGTAATAAGTATGTTGTGGGTCATGTAGGCTGCTATGGTGTTTATCATTTTTTATTTTTGTGACTACTTTTAGAAAGCAAATTTGTAGTAGAGGGAGTAACCCATTTAATTTGGGTATTTTTTATGGACAAAATTCTGTAAAAATATTAGGAAACTGAATGGAAAGTCCCTTTAGTCTTCATTAAATAGCTGTAAGATAATTAAGAGACAATTATTCAGGGTGTATGTAACAATTTATTTATCTTTTTAAGGCTAAAGAACGTGCCAATGGAATGGAGCTTGATGGACGTCGAATTAGGGTCGATTTCTCTATCACAAAAAGGCCCCATACCCCAACACCAGGAATTTACATGGGGAGACCTACTTAGTAAGTTTACCTTCTTTATATGTGTATATGTGTGGTTGGGTACTTGAATGTTCTAGAGGCACATGTTGGCTGTCTTCCTCCGTCTTTTCCCCCATCGATCTCTTGATAGCTTTTTAGAAGAAATTCCTTTAAAAAATATTGTGTACCTGTACAGCCACATGCAAGTAAGGTTTAGAGGACACCTTTGTGGCATCTATTCCTTTCTTAGACTTTTTTTTTTTTTTTTTGGTTTTTCGAGACAGGGTTTCTCTGGCTTTGGAGCCTGTCCTGAAACTAGCTCGGTAGACCAGGCTGGTCTCGAACTCACAGAGATCCGCCTGCCTCTGCCTCCTGAGTGCTGGGATTAAAAGTGTGTGCCACCGACGCCCGGCTCCCTTTCTTAGACTTTTACATGGGTTCTGGAGATTATCTCAGTTGACAGGCTGTAAGCTCCATTACCTAGCCACTTTGCTGTTAATGTCTCCAACTCCTCCACGGATCTCTACCGTTTTTATGCCCCCTCCTCCCCTTCAGTGTACTCAGTCCAGTTAGTATACTCATGCTTCATGGGTGTGTAGCCATGTGCTGCATTATGGTCATCCTACATTGTCACACTATTTGAAAACCAATTTCTCCAGCTGTATCTAGTTCCTTGAGTTAGGGGTGGGACCTTGGAAGGAACTTCTTTCTTATGGGTGCTAGAATGTTTACTGGTGCAGGTAACTACTGTTCACTCATGAGTTGAGTCATGTTCAAGCTGTACCATTGTACTTCTTCCTAATCTATGACATTAGAATCTTTCTGTTCCTGGTGTTTGAACCTGGAGGGTGGTACTGATGTTCCATTTAGTATACTTTTTAATCAGTTGTGAATGTTTATCAGTTGCTGTCTAGTGCTTCTCTTACAAAGACTGGGTTCTGATTCTTGGGTAAGACTTTGAGATAATGTTATCAATCCAGAGGTTGCTAACTAGCTACAGAGAGTCTCTGGCCTTCCTATCACCATACTTTGGATGATGAGGGCCTATTCAAGACCTCATACCTATATGTATTGAGCCATCTCAGAAACCTCTAAATAAAATTCTTATAACAAATGGGGGGGGGGTCAGTTGGCAGATGTTAAAAGACATCTTACTGCGTTCTCTCCTTCCATCTTTATGTGAGTTGTATTGTCACCCAGTTAATATTTTGTATGTATATGAGCGTTTGGGTGAGCTCATAGACAGGTGGCATATGTGGAGGGCAGAGCAAACTTTGTGTTCCCTCACCTTTCATATTGCTTTAAAGTGGGTTTATATTCACTGCTCCAGCCTATCTGGCTTTGAACTTCTGGAAATTTCTGCTTGTACATACCATCTAGCCTTAGAAACAATTAGAATAGGTACGTGACAGACACCTGGCGTGGAATTTGAGGTGAGTACTTAGGTAGTCCTGTTTATAAGCGTTTTACTCACTGAGTCTAATTTAAAAAAAATTAAAGGAAAAACCTTTTAAAGGCAAGTTCTCAGCCAAGCAGTGGTGGCAAATGCCTTTGATCACAGCATTTGGAAGGCAGGGCATCTCTGAATTCAAGAACAGCCAGGACTACACAGAGAATCCCTGTCCCCCCACCCCCACCCCCACCCCCCCCACACCAAATCCCTCACCTCCAAGAAAAATATCACCAGAAAGCCTTGGCTGGCATCAATCTCACAGACTTCTGCCTCTTTAGTGCTAGAATTAAAGATTTGTGCCGATATGCCCAACAGTTCTATATAGAAAGTCGTTGGATTTTTGTGCCTCTAAAACCAGAAGGTTACATACATATGGATGGATATACATATCTGAAACAAGGAAAACGAAAACATGGATAATACTGATAAGAACTGTATAGAAAAAATCTTAGGTAATGATACTTCAAAGGTTTGTTATCTATCAGGATCAAATTTTAATAGCAAAAGTTGTGGCCAACAAATGAGGATGATGACTTGAATTATTAAAAGTTATGTTGTTGTTCACAGTGGCAGCTCACGCCGCCGCGATTATTATGACAGAGGATATGATCGGGGTTATGATGACCGGGACTATTACAGCAGGTCATACAGGTAAGCTGTGTAGGAGTTCATTCACACTTCATTTACAGCAGCACAAAACACCTAAAATTTTAAAATGTAAGAAATAGCTGCAATTTAAACCAAAACTTCAGACATTTGTCTAATTTGCTGTGTAGTTGGATGCTTGCCTAATTGTTAAATACAAATGAGACATTAAACTTGGTGTGCTAATACAAAGATGAAACTTGACTTTATACATGTATGGAGGTCAATCTTTGGCTTTTACTTGGGTTCTGGGTATTTAATTCAGATGGTAAAGTATCAAGGCAACAGTCACCAACAAGTAATTCTAAAAGCCTTTAGCAGACACTTCTGTTTAACTATAGACTGTGTTTAGTTTTTGTAAATGAGATTTTTCTTGTTGAAGATTGTTCATTATACCATTGTCTGTGGAACTAAGTCTTTAATATTTGATGTCCAGAATTTTAGCAAAATGGCATTTTCCCCTTTTAAGCATTAGTGTGTTAAGTAGCACTTGGGACTGAGAAGTCTTTATTGAGAGCAACTATGCCATTCAGGAAGAACTCTTTAACACATTAACTACAAAACAGGGTTTTGTCCATTCTTGTAGCAATTGTTTTAACTAAAAACAATTTACTTTTCTGGTTTTACAGAGGAGGTGGTGGAGGAGGAGGCGGATGGAGAGCTGCTCAAGACAGGGATCAGATTTACAGGTGTGTAAATTTCTGTTAAAGTCTGAGTAATAGAATGCTTGTAAAATGTTTGCCTGATACTTAGGCAACTGTTCTCTAAGTGACACCGTGAAGATTGCGTTTTGTTTTGACTAGAGACGGGATTTCTGTAACCTGGAACTTGGAGATTTTGCCTTTGCCTCCCAAGTTCTGAGATTTAAGGCATGCCCTACCTGTCTGGCCTTGTTTTTTGTTTTGTTTTTTATTTGAATTAATTTATATGTGTACTTTAAAAGTCAGTGTTTTGGAGTTTTGTTTGAAACAGGGTTTCTCTGCAGTCCTAGCTGTCTTGGAACTAGCTCTTAGACCAGGCTGGCCTTGAACTCAAAGAGCACCACCTACCTCTGCCTTCTGAGTGCTGGGATTAAAGGTGTATGCCACCATCTTTAATGCATCTGCATTTTTATGTCTACCACATGCATACTTTGTTTCTTTGGAGACAAGATGGCCTCACATTTTGAGCCACCATGTGGGTGCTAGGAATTGAACCTGGGTTCTCTGCAAGAGTAGTGAATGCTCATAGCGTTAGCCATCTATCTCTCTGGCCATATGTTGGTTTTTTTGTTTGTTTGTTTGTTTGTTTGTTTGGGTATACAATATTCTGTGTGTGTGTGTCTGCAGGCCAGAAGAGGGCACCAGACCCCATTACAGATGGTTGTGAGCCACCTTGTGGTTGCTGGGGATTGAACTCAGGACCTATGGAAGAGTAGGCAATGCTCTTAACCTCTGAGCCATCTCTCCAGCCCATGATTTGGTTTTTTAAAGTTCATAATAGTCCTCAATGGACAATGTAAAGGGTTCATGGAAATTAAAAATTGAGCTTTAAGATAATTTTAGCGTTTATCTGGACTTGAAGGTTTATTGGAACCTCCCAGCTTGAGAACCAGCAAAAGTTTGGCTTCATGTTATTAGCCCATCTATTACCTAGATGTAGATATACACAGTCTTTATTTATTTACAGAAGGCGGTCACCTTCTCCTTACTACAGCCGTGGAGGATACAGGTCACGTTCCAGATCGCGATCATACTCACCTCGTAAGTTACCTTGATTAGTTTTATTCATCTCTTATAATGTTATTTGTAACTATTTTATAAATTGGAAGTCCACGTGGTTCTGTCCTCCTTGGTCATAGTTTAATCTGTGACAGCTAGATGATAAATAATGGATGTGTATACATCTAATGCTTGAATAAATTTTTTTATTTTTTTTATTTTTTTTTTCTTTATTAAAGAAAGATTTCTGTCTCTTCCCCACCGCCGCCTCCCCTTTCCCTCCCCCTCCCCCGTTGAATAAATTTCTTATTCATGTAAGAGACTTGATTCCCAAACATTGACAGAGGTTTTGTTTTCTTTCCAGGTCGCTATTAAAGCATGAAGTTGAAGACTTTCTGAAACCTGCCATAGAGCTGGGATATTGTTTGTGGACAATATTTTCTATTGTCTCCTGTTTAAAAAGTGAACAGTGCCTAGTGAAGTTAGGTGACTTTTACACCTTTTTTGATGACTACTTTTGGTGGAGTTGAAATGCTGTTTTCATTCTGCATTTGTGTAGTTTGGTGCTTTGTTCAAAGTTAAGTGTTTTCAGAAAAGTATGTTTTGCATGTATTTTTTTACAGTCCAAATTTTGACTGCTGAGAAGTTTCTATTGTACAAAACTTCATTTAAAAGGTTTTTCTACTGAATCCAGGGTATTCTGAAGATCGAAGCCTGTGTGTAAAATGCTACCAAATGGCAAAAAGCAACAATAAACAAGTTTGATTTTTTTACTTTTCTTTCTAAATATCAATGCTTAACCATTCTTAAGTTTCCAGTAAAATATTTTAAAATAAAGATACTTGTTTTCTTTCGGGAGTCCATGAAACTTGCCATATTCAATATACTTGCAATTAAGTGTTAAAAATAACGCTGTAACTCTGTGCTGCTAGTATTAGAACAAAAATCTTTCCATACAGCAAATGCTTAATGCTTACATTAATGTGGATTTGTCAGCCTTTATGTATTCTGTATTATATAGAGCAGGGAATAAGAGCTTCAGATACATGTCTTTAAAAGGCTGTTTGTTACAAAAGAGATAATGGTATTTCAACTAATTATCAACAAGTGACGACAATACATTCCACCACAAATGTACTTTTGTTCTTCTAGCTTAGACTATATGGAAATACTGGGTGCTTCAAAGTTTGGAATGAGAGGAGGGATCACCACACCTGTGTCATGGATGAACTGATGAAGACTGCCTGTTCATTTTTTAAATATTATTTTCAGGTCCTTTGCTTACCAGAGGAGGCCCAATTCACTCAAATGTTTTGAGAACTGTTTAAATAAAGGCAAAGAGAAAAATTGCTAATGCAACTTGGTTTACAAAGAAGTGTTGGCTTTCTTTTAACTTTATTGTAACTAAAGTCTTATGGTTTATTTAGTGCTTAGTGCAATATTGTTTTTTCTTCAAGATACCATACTGTGTGCTGTTTTGGAAAAATGTATTTCTCAAATATATTAGCCAAGTCAATACTGCAATGAAGATTCCTCTTTGGGGCTGAGGTTGTATTAAAATTTTTCTTTTTCTTTCTTTTACTTTTTTTTTTCCTTTTGGTTTTTTGAGACAGGGTTTCTCTGTGTTGCTTTGGAGCCAGTCCTGGAACTAGCTCTTTTAGACCAGGCTGGCCTTGAACTCAAAGAGATCCGCCTGCTTCTGCCTGCTCAGTGCTGGGATTAAAGGCATGTGCCACCACTGCCAGGCTGTGATTATTTTTCAAAGCATGTTTTTAGTACCAGCATTTGTTTTCTATTTAAGTATAGCTAGCCTGTAACTCTTTAGCCCCAGGCTATATTATAGAATATCCAAGTATGTGCTGCATACTGTAGCATCCATGGGTAGAATATGTTTGACTCAGATAAACTAGATACTAACATGACATTGCCTGAGTTCAAGCCTATGCGAGGACCTATTATTGTTGCCTTATAGTTTTCCTACATCTCCATTAACTTTGGATTCAGTTTAGATCTGCAAGCATACAAGGCAAGTGCTCTGAGGTACAGTCCAAGCTTGTATTCAGGGAACATGGATACAGCAGTCTCTTACCTAAATAAAGAAAACCAAGCATTTTGGTGTAGGAAATATATTTGAAAGTAACCTGTAAATTACATTGAACTAATGAGGGCCTCAGGGTTTGAGGGGGACAGTTAAGAGTTTAAGGGATTTTCAGACTTGAGATTTTAGGGGTGGGGCAGTTAGAATTAGTGGGGATAAAAGGGTTTTCTAGACATGTAATGGAGACCAAGATCAGAATTAACTTTCTGGACAGCTAGGCATAACATTGGCAAGTTGTATTCAGTTCAGATTAGGTGTTGGTAGTATTTTAAAAATTCAAGTTCTAACTGAGCAGTGGTGGCACATCCCTTTAATCCCAGCACTCGGGGCAGAGGCAAGCTGAGTTCAAGGTCAGCCTGGTTTACAAGAGCTAGTTCAGGGCAGGCTCCAAAAGTAGAGGAAAACCCTGTCTTGGAAAACAAAAACAAAATAAATTCTAGACCCCAATCTTAATCTCTGAATTCTGAGCTACAAACGTTAGGGTAGTGAATGGCTTGAACCTGTATATGGCCACGTGGCAGTGGCTTACCCGGAAAGAGTCAGCATGTCTGATTCTGGTGGCTCTCTGACTCTGCTTCCCAGAATTTAGTTCTGTCTTCAGCCTACCTAAATTCTTCCCCTATCAGCAGGCCCAAAGCATTTTCTTTACTAACCTATAAAAGCAACACAAAGACAAAAGGACCTTGTACACAAGTTTTTTCTGTGTAACAGTTCTGGCTGTCCTGGAACATGCTCTGTAGACCAGGCTGACCTCCCAAGGGCTGGGATTAAAGGCTCACACTATCACCACCTGACGTGGCAGTGCTTAGAAATCCTGGCCCATACCTTGAGGTAATTTAATCTGGAGCACGGACGAAGAGGCAGGTCCTGTTTCAATAAATTAAAATGTGAAGAAGTGTCTTTCTGAGAACCACCATTATCTTTGTCAAACCCAGGTTCTTTTTCAGAAGAAAAGCTTTTTTTTTTTTTTGCTAAGCTAGCTCTCTGGTCCCAGGTCTGTTTTTTGTTTTGTTTAATCCCCAGAGACACGTAGTGAATGGCATTACTGCAGTTAGCAGAAATACAGTTACCAGCCTCTTTCTAGGAGCATTTTTACTATTTCAGGTGAAACATTTGGGAAAAGTGATCTTTCCATTTTGCAACTGTTCCAGGTTGCCAAAGCTATATCTGTCCCCCAAATGTGCCCAGCGTTTTTGAAAGTTTAGTCATTCTACTCAAAGACTATTGTTAACCAGAAATAGTTCTATCTGGTGTAGAGATGCTGATGGGGTCATGATAAAGTTTGCAAAGGTTTGAAAGCCATGGAACTGGCCAAATGTACACATTAATCTTAAAGTTAGGTTTCTTGAGGACAGCCTTGGTTTTACTTCAAGCTATCCATCAATCGAAAGCAATAGAAGAGCATATGGAACCAAGAGACTCTTGAGACTGACCACACTGATCATTTCTTTTCCTATCAATTGAAATTTGGTGGGGGTGGGGGGTGATGGAGAGATGGCTCAGGAATTAAGAGCACTGGTTGTTCTTCATAAGGACCTATGTTCAATTCCCAGTACCCACAAACAGGTTACAACTCAACTCCAATTTTAGGGGATTGGACACTTGTATATATCCAATGTATATAGAATAATTTTCTTTTTAATTCCCATTTAAAAAAGTTTGCCAAGCTTTTCATCAATTGAGGTGCTCCACCATGAATCTGTGAGTATCTAGTTCTCTAACAAATTAACATTATTTGACACCCAGGGGTGTCCACTGAGAATTTAAAAAAAAATGGTTTGTTGAATAATTGAAATTTTTAAGGCTGAGGCAGGATTGCCATGAGCTTGAGGCCAGCTACTTATGTCTTGGATAAGCTGTGCAGTATGAGATACCAGGTTTGCCATGCTTTGGACACCTGAGGCTGAAGCAAGAGAATTGAAAGTTCAAGGTCATCCTGTGCTACTTAGTGAGCCCTTGTCTCAAAACGAAGAGTTAAAAGACTAGGGATATAGCTCAGCAGTAGAACACTTAGTGTAAACGTTCAGCCCTCAGTACTAATCTGGGTGAGGTCTAGCCTAAATCATATACTGAGCTAGCAATATGGCTAGTTGGTAAAGGTGCTTGGTGACGACCTGGATTTGAGCCCCAGGACTTGTCTGCTGACATCTATACACACAATGTAGTTATAAATTAGTCATTTTGCGTATGTATTCACTCTTGTGTGTCTGGCTGCTTTCGTTTGGTTTTGTGATTCTGTTGAATACATCAGTAGTTTTGCCAGATGTTCCACTGTGTGAGTGCATGGTGGTTATTAAATTATGCTGATGAACACCTGCTTATAGTAAGGTTGGTGGGTTTTGTTTTTTAAAGACAGCTTCTTAGTGTCTTAGAACTTGTTTTGTGCACAGCTAAGGGAGGTCTCGAGTTTTTCATCCTCCTGGCTCCACCTCTTAAGTGCTGGAATTATAGACCTACACTGTGACACAAGTTCATACCATACTGGGGGCTGAACCTGGACTCTGCTACTGACTGTCTTCTTCACTCCCAGTTAGTAAACTTAGCAATATTCAATGTTCTTCCCACCAGCGTGTAAGAGTTCCAGTTCTTCCTTGTTTCTTGTCTTTAAAATTTTGCACTCTTGTGGGGGGAGTGTGGATGTCCTGGAGGTCGGAGCATGTCCTTTTAGGAATCAGTTCTCTTTCACTGGGTTAGGGCAAAACTCAGGTGACCAGCCTTGCATACATAGTAAGTACTTTTACCTACAAAGATGTCTTCAAGGTCTATGCCCTTTTTAATTTAGCAATTCTATTTTTTTTTTAATTTGTTTTTCTAGACAAGGTTTCTCTGTATAGTGTTGACTGTCCTATAACTATGTTGACCAGCCCGGCCTCAGAGATCTGCCCAACACTGCCTCCTGAGTGCTGGGATCTTTTAATCTGGCCCTGCCTGGCAATGTGAGTTTCTCTTGCCTAATCTTAAAAATTAATTTATTGAGCTGGGTATGGTGGGACACACTTGTAATTCTGGTACTTGATAGAGGCAGGTTTACCAGGAGTTGGGTCATCCTGGGCTATATTAGACCCTGTCACAAAGTTCACTAGACAGGGTCAAGTCTCTAAAGAAATACAGGGCATGTGTGTGCATGTGTGTCCTGTGCATGCATGTCATGGCAAAAGCCAGGAGAATCGGTCCAGCTGGTGATGTAGTTTGAAGGCTGGCTTAGTTTGGGATTTTATTGCTGTTAAGTGACACCATGACCACGGCAACTCCTATAAAGAAAACATTTAATTGAGGTGACTTGCTTACAATTTCAGAGGTTCAGTCCATTATCAGCATGGCAGTGTGCAGGTAGATGTGCTGGAACTAAATGCAGGCAACTGACAAACTGGGTGGTATTCTGAGTATATGAGACCTCAAAGCCTGCCCCCCCTCCCCAGTGACACACTTCCTCCAGCAAGGCCATACTCACTCCACCAAAGCCACACCTCCTAATAGTGCCACCCCCTGTAAGAGATTATGGAGGTCAATTGCATTCAAACTACCACAAAGTCCCATGAGCCCGTGGTGTAAAACTGAGATCCCAGAGCACTGAATGAAGGGGAAACAAAGATCCCTGCTCTTAGTTTTGTTCTTTCCTTGCTTCTTTTCATTAGCATTCCCCCTTTTGGTGTGTATGGGGTGTGGGTGTGTGCAGTGGTGCATATGACTCCATGCAGAGGCCAGAGGGAGAAGTGTTTGACTTCGTTACTCTGCCTGGTTCCTTTAAGACCTTTAATTCCTTTAGGGTTTCTATTGTGTGAAGAGACACCATGACCACGGCAACTCTTAAGGGGTGGCTCACAGTTTGAGAGGTTCAGTCCATTGTGACGGAGCATGGCAGGGTGCAGGCAAACATGCTCCTGGAGAGGTAGCTGAGATTCCTGAATCTTACTGGCAACAGGAAGTGGACTGTGCCACACACTTTCTTCAGCAAGGTCACACCTATTTCAACAAGGCCACACCTCCTAGTAGTGCCACTCCCTGTCGACTTATGGGGGCCAATTATGTTCAAACTGCCACACCTCAAAAAAAGGGTGATGGGATGGAGCCACTAGCGCTTCTGAGTCCCAAGTAGTCTGGCTCTGATCTTCTTGCAGCTGCTGAGAACTCGAGGTGCCTCCTGGCTCTGTTCTGTGGTGGGTAGGAGACTGATCACGGCAGTACTCAAAGGTGGCTGGCTGGTAAATGAAGAAATGAGAGGAGGAGGTTGTTGGAAAAGCAAGAAAATGGGAACTGAAGA